CACTACTGAAGACTCTCAGCTCAGGCTGACACTACTGAAGTCTCCCAGCTCAGGCTGACACTACTGAAGTCTCCCAGCTCAGGCTGACACTACTGAAGTCTCCCAGCTCAGGCTGACACTACTGAAGTCTCCCAGCTCAGGTGACACTACTGAAGTCTCCCAGCTCAGGCTGACACTACTGAAGTCTCCCAGCTCAGGCTGACACTACTGAAGTCTCCCAGCTCAGGCTGACACTACTGAAGTCTCCCAGCTCAGGCTGACACTACTGAAGTCTCCCAGCTCAGACTGACACTACAGAAGTCTCCCAGCTCAGGCTGACACTACTGAAGTCTCTCAGCTCAGGCTGACACTACTGAAGTCTCCCAGCTCAGGCTGACACTACTGAAGTCTCCCACTCAGGCTGACACTACTGAAGTCTCCAGCTCAGGCTGACACTACTGAAGTCTCCCAGCTCAGGCTGACACTACTGAAGTCTCCCAGCTCAGACTGACACTACAGAAGTCTCCCAGCTCAGGCTGACACTACTGAAGTCTCCCAGCTCAGGCTGACACTACTGAAGACTCTCAGCTCAGGCTGACACTACTGAAGTCTCCCAGCTCAGGCTGACACTACTGAAGTCTCCCCCGCTCAGGCTGACACTACTGAAGTCTCCCAGCTCAGGCTGACACTACTGAAGTCTCCCAGCTCAGGCTGACACTACTGAAGTCTCCCAGCTCAGGCTGACACTACTGAAGTCTCCCAGCTCAGGCTGACACTACTGAAGTCTCCCAGCTCAGGCTGACACTACTGAAGTCTCCCAGCTCAGGCTGACACTACTGAAGTCTCCCAGCTCAGACTGACACTACAGAAGTCTCCCAGCTCAGGCTGACACTACTGAAGTCTCTCAGCTTAGGCTGACACTACTAAAGTCTCTCAGCTCAGGCTGACACTACTAAAGTCTCTCAGCTCAGGCTGACACTACTAAAGTCTCTCAGCTCAGGCTGACACTACTGGATGACAGGAACAAAATAGTAACTTGTGTTCTCACCGTGTAACTATCACGTAGGATAGTGTAGCAGCACACTGCTAATGTATCCAATCTTGCAGATCATAAGACTCTTCACAGGTGGCGGAAAAGCAGCTGAGGTCACCTCATGACCCCCACTTCCCCCATCATTATGTTGTCACCCCCTCCCCCACACACTACCCCCAAGCACCCCCTCATACATTTCCCTAAGGGGTGTGTGGATTTTTTTGTATTGTGTGTATGTGTGAACATGTGTGTATTATTGTACCCACGGAACAAGTGGTATTGATCAATAACACTGCGCTAGCCGAGGAGTCGAACCCATGCTGTTTTGGCCTGCCTCATGGTGAGAGAAAACGACTCCTTGTCTAGTACAGTGTTGTTATTGATATGTATGTGTGTTTATATATATATATAATATTATATATATATATATATATATATATATATAATATATATTTTATATATATATGTGTGTGTGTGTGTATGTATAATCAGAGATAAAGCCAGGATTAAGATTTATAATAAGAAACTTGTGTATAAGTGATGCTTCAACAAAATGGCGTCTGTGAAGACTAGAAGAATGAGGGGTTGTCATCGTCACAATCAGAGAGCACTGTGTCAACATCCGTGGCTTATACTCTTCTCACTTCTATCAGCAGATAACACAAGTATTGCCACAAGAAAGATAAAATGTTTTTAGATGAGAAAGGACCACTCCCTCATACAAGTACTTAATCAACTTTGCTATGCACGCTTCTTGGCCGCTAACAGCAACAGCCTGGTTGATCATTCAGAGTGTGTGATATATAAGAGTTACCTCCGACACAAAGGAACAGATACAGTGGCCAGCTCATTTTGCCGACGAATTGGCTAGTTTATTGCGTCCTAACATCCATCCTGTGGTGTGTAGTGGTTAGTTTATTATACATCCCATAACCATCCTGGGGTCGGTAGCGGCTACTTGACTGTGTTCACTTATCCTGTGGTCGGTGGCTCAAGAGCATATAGACACAGAAAAGATCTTAGAAGTAGGCCATTAATTAAATGTAAGAGCAGTAGGCCTGCCATCCGCATGCCTTGCGTAAGGAGATAAGAGTAGAGGCACGTAGTATCTGGGTACTAATGTCCCACATCCTGTCTGTTTTCTGGGGTTTTGACACTTATTAACGAGCATAGCGACCACGTGGATAGATGGTCGGTGGGAATTAGAAATTTCGCCGCCAGTGAAGAACAAGGAGGGACGAGGCCTGTTATATGGTCAAGCAGACAGGATTCATGTGATTCTTCTTTGCAAAGGCCTGATGTGAACTGGAGGGTGGAGTGGTGTGGGGTTGCTGGGGCATTAGTGTGTGGGTTCTGTCTAGAATTTACCACTTGTGTGATTCTCCATACGAGGTGTTATCAAAAAGTTCCTGGACTCTTACGGAAAAAAAGAATATATGGGCTTACCTAATTACCAAATTGAAGTTGTCTCCGTGTAGATACTCTCCTTGGCAGGCTGTACACTGATCCCAGCGCCTCTGCCACTTCTCGAGACATTACCCCTTACGCCGCCCCTTCGAGTAAAGGAACTTTCCGAAGTTTGGGTGGCTGGTTAATTGGGCTTAAAGCCCATCATCAGCAACACAGAGGGTCGTTAAAGCTGCATGTGACCTGTTCACCACCAGTCAAGAACACTTTAATATCCAAAAGGTGGATTAAAACCAACTTTGTGTATAAGTGAGAATTATATACCTGTGTAAGTGGTGACTATTGTTTAGTATGGGTTAAGATGCTGTATACTTTTGTACTTGTTACTGACTTCAGAAAATTTAAACTTGTTAGTTTGTTTCCTTAGGTATCCCCAGTTATAACATATATTTTATATTTTGTATTGTATGTGTATTAATTTGAGAATTCTTTTGGTAAAAGTAAATGAATATGAGGCTTGTGGGAATGACCTTATAAGTAAAGGATCTAGGTGAGTAAATAGTGTTACTGAGGGTAGGAAAGGTATTCAGTTATCACCTGGATATACCTGGAGTCTACCTGGAAGGTATTCAGGGGATCAACGCCCCCGCGACCCGGTCCGTGACCAGGCCTCCTGGTGGATCAGGGCCTGATCAACCAGGCTGTTACTGCTGGCCACACGTGGTCCAACGTACGAACCACAGCCCGGCTGATCCGGCACCGACTTTAAGTATCTATCCAGCTCCCTCTTGAAGGCAGCCAGGGTGGGAGGCTGTTGAACAGTCTTGGGCCCCGGACACTAATGGCGCCCCTACTTTCCGTTGGGGGTATTTTGCATCGCCTGCCCAGTCTTTTACTTTCTTAGGGAGTGATTTCTGTGTGCAGATTTGGGACCATTCCATCCAGGATTTTCCAAGTGTAGATCATGATATATATCTCGCCTGCGTTCCAGCGAGTAGAAGTCGAGTGCTTCCAAGCGTTCCCAGTGGTTGAGGTGCTTGATAGAACTTATATGTGCAGTAAAGGTTCTCTGTACACTCTCTAGATCTGCAATTTCACCTGCTTTGAACGGAGATGTTAATGTACAGCAGTATTCCAGCCTAGAGAGAACAAGTGATTTGAAAAGCATCATTGGCTTGGCATCTCTTGTTTTGAACGTTCTCATTATCCATCCTATCATTTTCTTAGCAGTTGTGATCGTGGCAGTGTTGTGATCCTTGAAAGTGAGATCCTCAGACATTACCACTCCCAGGTCCCTCACATTATTTTTTCGCTATATTGTATGATCAGATTTTGTAGTATACCCTGTTCTAGTTATTATTTCCTCCAGTTTTCCATAACGTAGTATTGGAATTTGTCCTCATTGAACATCATATTGTTTACCGTTGCCCATTGGAAAACTTGGTTTACATATTCTTGGAGGTTAACCGTGTCCTCAATAGATGACAGTCTGCAAAGGATGACACGGTGTTGTGGATTACATCTCTGTCTGATATGAGGAACAGGATGGGGGCGAGTACTGTGCCTTGTGGAACAGAGCTTTTCACTTTGGCAGCTTCCGATTTAACTCTGTTGACCACTACTCTTTGTGCTCGATTGGTTAGAAAGTTGAAGATCCATCTCCCCGCTTTGCCAGTTATTCCTTTAGCGCGTATTTTGTGCGCTAGTACACCATGATCGCGCTTGTCAAAGGCTTTTGCAAAGTCTGTGTATATTATATCAGCATTCTGTTTTTCTTCCAGTGCATCCAAGATCATATCATAGTGATCCAGTAGTTGTGAGAGGCAGGAGTGACCTGCACTGAACCCATGTTGCCCTGGATTGTGCAGTTTTTGGGAATCTAGGTGGTTTACAACCATGCTACTTAGAACTCTTTCAAAGATTTTTATGGTGTGGGACGTTAGAGCTATTGATCTATAGTTCTTAGCTGATGCTTTTCTGCCACCTTTATGGAGTGGACATGTAACATTGTACTGTATCTATATCCCTCAGTCAATTGGCATTCTATTGACAATCATGGTCATAGTGTTCAGGATAGTGACCACAAGACTATCTGTAGGTTTTACATTTTGTTTGATCATTATATGTGTATTTACCAAACTACTAAAGTACTTGAAACGTTTATACTGAAGATTGGTACATAAATCTTGTTATGTTTTCATAGTGGGTTAGAGAGCTACACAGGTTCTTAACTGCATTCCCATAGTATAGACATATTAGACAAATATCCTAAATTTACTTACAACTAATAAGACGGTAAGTATAAATCTAGATGTACTTCTGTAAACCCTCTTGTGATCTAGTTCCTAGGTTTTTTGTGTATCCTGCGCTAACATCCATAGGATGAATATGAGGTGCACAGTAAACTAACCGCGTCGGTGGCAAAATTTAAAAAAAAAGGTAAAATTCCTAGCTTAACTATCATATTGTACAGCTTTACAGACACCGTCAGTATTTTCCACCTCTTCATCTCCTTCTACTTCGTATGTCTAGATATTTACTTTATCGTATATTTAACTCGGTGTTGTTACCACTTTTGCAGACCCGCGGACGTGGAGTCGGGAAGACGTACACCGATGGCTACACCATGTGTCCGAGGCTCACCAGCTACCCCGGGTGTTCCCCGAAAGGTTCCTCATGAACGGCAAGGCTCTGTGTCTCATGACCCTCGACATGTTCGTGCAGAGGGTGCCCCTGGGAGGCAAGCTTCTCTACAAGGACTTTCAGCTACGTCTGTGTAACGCTATGTACGCCTGATGGGCGTCAGTGTAATGCAGTGTACGCTTGATATCGTCAGCGTTGCGCTGCTGTGTGAACTTTGTGTCAGCAGCTGTGTACCTCTTCACAATCTAATGTTTGTGGATACCTGCACCAAGTGATGTGTTGAAATCAAGATTTATCCGGGCGAAATACAGTGCAGAAATCATAACTTTCTTGGCCAAAATGACGTGTAGGAATCATGACTTTCCTGGTCGAAATGTGGTGTGGGATTCATGATTTTTCTTAGATAAAATGCAGTGCAGGACTGAGCACTTTCCTGGACGATAGTATATGTGGTAGTGAAGTCTACCTGGACGAAGTGAGGTGTTGGTCTCAGTACTAATATATAATGTATGTGAATTTTATTCGTAAAGGAAAAGAGTGAGAGAAAAGTCTTCGATGTTTGTAGATCGTTGAGACCTCCAGAGTGCCTTCCTCCCCCCCCCCCCTCTGTACGTCAGCAGTCAGGTGTACAGAGGTACTTAGTGTTATAGATTAACTCACGTGAGCACAAAAGATATGTGACGTGTGCTCAAGCTTTCTCTGCACCGAAATAATCCAGCACATGAATTGTAACTGTTGATGAAAACCTTAAGGGGTTTGAGAATGGCAAAGACGCTTTTGATAAGAGTCCTGACGCCATCATGATGGCGTCGATGGTGTAGTTCTCAATCTGTTGATTGTGTCTTGAAAATATTATATAATATATATATATATATATATATATATATATATATATATATATATATATATATATATATATATATATATATACATATTTTGCTAGATAATCGTAGGAGGTGAGGAAAATATAGAGGGTAAAACTAACTGGAGAGAGTTACTATGTTAAAGACAATTCATCTAGAGAGAACATTGTGGGTGATATGTGAATATTTTGGGTGATTTGTTTACTGGCGATTATTAGTGCTGCGGCAGGTGCGTGTGTGTAGCTCTTGGTCCCATTGCTAGTGATGTGGATAATCTCTCTCTCTCTCTCTCTCTCTCAGCAGTATGTGATGGCACCTTCACATCAAGGGCGGCATCGTGGAGAACCGACTATAAACTGAATTGAAACACTAGTTTGCTTGGCTTTCTAAGGTTATATTGACCTTCCGGGGTTAGTAATATATTCTCTTCGTCGTATTCTTAATTTTTCGCTCTCACTTTCATTCCTCCATGGCGTTACTTCACGCTAATATGGAACTGTAGGATCTACACGGATTTAGTCTATTATTATTGTTATTATTAATCTTAAACAATTTAAAGTGTGAGAACTAGAGTGACGGTAACGTTGGCAACTTGAACGTCTCTCAGTAGCACAGAATCAAGCGTCAGGTTACTGCCTAGCCTTTCCTCCGGGATTTACCTGTGATTTACCCCTAACCTGTTTCGGGAGTTTCCGTACTTCCGCAGCCCGGCCCTGTGCCGGGCCTCCCATTTGTCTGGTCGACGAGGCTGTTGCTGCTGACGGCCCTCCGGCCCACATAATCATCATAGCCTGGTTGATCTGGCATACTGCGGAGGCAGTGATCGAATTTCTTCTTGAACACTTGTACACTTGTTCCAGTAATGTTTCTGATATCTACTAATAGTAGGTTGAGTACTTAAGGTCCTAAACTATTCATGTATCAGCATCTACGGTCCTAGACTACAGGACCACGGATGATATATTTTTCTCGTATTTTCTCCATGACGACTGGTACGTTATGTTAGCATATTTGGGACCAGACCCTCCACGTGTATGTTATCATGCATCTCTCGCCGCCTTTCCAGATAATACATCTTCAGTGTTTGAGGCGTTCCCAGTAGTCTCAACGCTTTATTGGTCATATGAGGGTGGTAAAGGCTCTGTAGTTTTTCCAACCCTCTTAAGACAGCACCCTCTCTGAACGGTGCCGTCAACACCAAGCAGTACTTAAGACGAGAGAGCACTAGTGGATAGTGGTTACTTACCGTCCCTTTCCTGGACAGTGCCTACTTACAGTCCAGTCCTTGGACAGCGCCTGTTTACCCTTTCCCTGGTGGAGAGTGGCTGGTTGGCCTGCATGTGGATGGGTGTCCAGCAGGCAGTGTGCTACCCCCGCTCCAGTATGGCCCCCAACAACGCATCTACCAAAACAGGAAACCAGTACACGGCACTTCCTGGTATCTGCCTAGCGAGGGGATGGGACGCACATCCGTCCACCCAGCACCCCTCATCCACCCTTCCTCCTTTCCCCTCACCCCTTCTTTCCCTCTCTTCCCCTCCCCGCCCTTCCATCTCTCACCCATCGTCCACCACCCCATATTTGTGATGGGGCTTCCTTATTCTTCACCCCCCCCCCCCTCGCCACTCGTAGATTCAGCCACATCACCTCCCCCCCCTCCCCACACCATCAGCACCCGTGCTGTCGCCCTGGCCTTCACCTGGTTTGTCAGGGACACAAGCAACATCTATAGTCATGGCATCCAGGTGTCAGACCAGTGGTGTGTTCACATCTACATGTCAGACCAGTGATGTGTTCACACCCACATGTCAGACCAGCTGTGTATTAACGTCCATATGTCAGATCAGTGGTGTGTTCACTCCCAGGAAATGTGTCACTGTCTAGTACTGTGACAGTCCTATACTGTGGCCAATACTGTGACACTGTCCAATACTATGACACTGTCCAATACTATGACACTGTCCAATACTGTGACACCAAAACTGTGAAACTGTCCAATACTGTGACTGTCCAACATTGACACTGTCCATTACTGTGACAGTCCAATACTGTGACAGTCCAATACTGTGACACTGTCCAATACCGTGACTGTCCAATATTGACACTGTCCAATACTGTGACAGTCCAATACTGTGACACTGTCCAATACTGTGACACTGCCCAGTACTGTGACTGTCCAATACTGTGACAGTCCAATACTGTGACTGCCCAATACCGTGACTGTCCAATATTGACACTGTCCAATACTGTGAGTCCAATACTGTGACACTGTGCAATACTGTGACACTGTCCAGTACTGTGACAGTCCAATGCTGTGACTGTCCAATACTGTGACAGTCCAATACTGTGACACTGTCCAGTACTGTGACACTGTCCAGTACTGTGACACTGTCCAGTACTGTGAGTCCAGTACTGTGACACTGTCCAGTACTGTGACACTGTCCAGTACTGTGACAGTCCAGTACTGTGACAGTCCAATACTGTGACAGTCCAATACTGTGACTGTCCAATACTGTGACACTGTCCAATACTGTGACACTGTCCAATATTGACACTGTCCATTACTGAGACTGTCCAATACTGCGACACTGTCCAATACTGTGACACTGTCCAGTACTGTGACACTGTCCAATACTGTGACAGTCCAATACTGTGACAGTCCAATACTGTGACACTGTCCAATACTGTGACACTGTCCAATACCGTGACTGTCCAATATTGACACTGTCCATTACTGAGACACTGTCCAATACTGTGACACTGTACAATACTGTGACACTGTCCAATATTGACACTGTCCAATACTGTGACAGTCCAATACTGTGACACTGTCCAATACTGTGACACTGTCCAATACTGTGACTGTCCAATACTGTGACAGTCCAATATTGTGACACTGTCCAGTACTGTGACAGTCCAGTACTGTGACACTGTCCAGTACTGTGACACTGTCCAGTACTGTGACAGTCCAATACTGTGACTGTCCAATACTGTGACACTGTCCAATACCGTGACTGTCCAATATTGACACTGTCCATTACTGAGACACTGTCCAAAAGTGTGACACTGTCCAATACTGTGACACTGTCCAATACTGTGACACTGTCCAATACTGTGACACTGTCCAATACTGTGACACTGTCCAATACTGTGACAGTCCAATACTGTGACTCCAATACTGTGACACTGTCCAATACTGTGACACTGTCCTGTACTGTGACACTGTCCAGTACTGTAACACTCTCCAATACTGTGACACTGTCCAATACTGTGACACTGTCCAGTACTGTGACACTGTCCAGTACTGTGACACTGTCCAATACTGTGACACTGTCCAATATTGTGACAGTCCAATACTGTGACTCCAATACTGTGACACTGTCCATTACTGTGACACTGTCCAGTACTGTGGCACTGTCCAATACTGTGACACTGTCCAGTACTGTGACAGTCCAATACTGTGACTCCAATACTGTGTCCAGTACTGTGACACTGTCCAATACTGTGACACTGTCCAATTCTGTGACACTGTCCAGTACTGTGACACTGTCCAGTACTGTGACTCCAATACTGTGACACTGTCCAGTACTGTGACAGTCCAATACTGTGACTCCAATACTGTGACTCCAATACTGTGACACTGTCCAATACTGTGACACTGTCCAATACTGTGACACTGTCCAATACTGTGACACTGTCCAGTACTGTGACACTGTCCAGTACTGTGACACTGTTCAATACTGTGACACTGTCCAATACTGTGACACTGTCCAATACTGTGACACTGTTCAATACTGTGACACTGTCCAATACTGTGACACTGTCCAGTACTGTGACACTGTCCAGTACTGTGACACTGTCCAGTACTGTGACACTGTCCAGTACTGTGACACTGTCCAGTACTGTGACACTGTCCAGTACTGTGACACTGTCCAATACTGTGACACTGTCCAGTACTGTGACACTGTCCAGTACTGTGACACTGTCCCAGTACTGTGACACTGTCCAATACTGTGACACTGTCCAGTACTGTGACACTGTCCAGTACTGTGACACTGTCCCAGTACTGTGACACTGTCCAGTACTGTGACACTGTCCAATACTGTGACGCTGTCCAGTACTGTGACACTGTCCAGTACTGTGACACTGTCCAATACTGTGACACTGTCCAATACTGTGACACTGTCCAGTACTGTGACACTGTCCAATACTGTGACACTGTCCAGTACTGTGACACTGTCCAGTACTGTGACACTGTCCAGTACTGTGACACTGTCCAATAAGTTCGTTCCTGGGGGACAAAATCCTTTAACATAAAATCGAAACTTTAATTACTAGCTGACGGTCCCTTTTAAGAACATAAGAAAGAAGGAACACTGCAGCAGGCCTACTGGCCCATGTAAGGCAGGTCCAAGTCTCCTACCAGCTTAAGCCAATGCCCCAACCTAGTCAGGTCAGGTCACATTCACTTAAGGAAGGAACACCGCAAATGACCTAGTAGCACATGCTAATCAGGTCCAACCACACACCACTCATGTATTTATCTAACATATTTTTAAAACTACACAACGTTTTAGCCTCTATAACTGTACTCGGGAGTTTGTTCCACTCATCCACAACTCTATTACCAAATCAATGCTTTCGTATATCCTTCCTGAATCTGAACTTTTGAAACTTAAAACCATTGCTGCGAGTCCTGTCTAGGCTAAATATTTTCAGCACGATATTTACATCCCCTTTATTTATTCCTGTCTTCCATTTATACACCTCAGTCATATCCCCCCTAATTCTACGCCTATCTAGAGAGTGCAGATTCAGGGCCCTCAGTCTGTCCTCATAGGGAAGATTTCTGATACATGGGATCAACTTTGTCATCCTCCTTTGTACGTTTTCCAGTGCATTTATATCCATTCTGTAATACGGTGACCAGAACTGTGCAGCATAATCTAAATGACCCCTTTAAG